CTTGTGTATCAATTATTGTAATTTTGTGCTCTTTCTAAAGTAATGACATACTCTAGGTCCATGTCTCCTGAAGTCGAATGCATTTGAGGACAAAGGAGATAGATGGGAGGAATCTTTATTAAGAAGAGAGAAATAGCTTCCAGTAGTTGGGAAGGGACCAGAAAGTGGGTTTCCAAGGGGACTCTGTCTAGGAGTTTTTATATCAAAAACTTACTATGGCTCCGACCACTTCAAGACAAACTAACATCAACCAAAAAGAACTCCCCTAAAAACCTATTGTGTCTGGGCCAGGGTTGGAATTAGTGTGAAGTGAATGAGACACCTGGCCACAAAATTTAAGAAGCCACTTGAATTCTGTACCCTAGGAGTTTCATTTGCTTTATTCTTAGTAGTCTTAGCCCTGTCCTGGGAAAGGCAAGGAGAGTAGAATATAGGGAAAGATAGGACAAGAATTTTTTCTTTTTTTTACTGTGAAAATTTGTGATACATACTCTTATTTTTTAAAAGAACATTGGGGGCTAGATATATATAACTGTGTTTAATCCCCAAGGATTTACACAAGGTCATACACAAGAAGGATAGATCTGTTGACCTTGGTATTATATATTTGCTCTGGGCATTACTTAGATTCTTTGCCTTCCATCTTCAAGCTACATTTGACTGGTGGGAGAAAAAGACAATTTGCATCATGAAACAAAAGAAAAATAAAGGAGGGCTGAGGTAAAAGGATCACTGAGTTTGAGACCAGCCTGGGCTGCCTAGTGAGTTCCAGGTCAGTCTCAACTATATAGTGAGACCCTGTCTCAAAAAAAAAAAAAAAAAAAAAAAAAGGTTTCGGGGAGGGATTGCACTGGAACAAGAGAAGAAAGAAAAAACACAATGATTATTCCCTTCCCATCACTGTACTTGTGACAGTAGCTCCATTTGTCATGTTGGGTGACCGTCCTCATTGACCCAGCTTTCCCAGCCATTAACACCATTTTCTCCCCTTGTCCCTTCAAGACGACAAGAAGTTGTCATGCCAGGCTCTAGGCCTCCCACTGTACAGTTTTCTGATAGGTCCTAATATAACAATGTGTCCATGAATTATTTTTATAGACAGCTAAATTAGTTAATAGAAAATTAAATTTGTAAATAGAAATTAGCAGGCAGTTTGACAGGGATGGAGGAAGTCAGTGCAGAAGATAAGATTTCATCAAAACTATGGTTGGAGGCAAATCCAAAGCAAGCCAGGCCTTGAGATGGAGATGCAATAGCCAGGTCTACATGCCTCCCTAATAGATAAACAGCAACTTGAGATTATAGTATAATTAGCAATACCCAGTCCAGTAAGTCCAGATAAGTATCAGATACCTAGGAAGGTGACTAGAACATCTGGATCCCTCCTCCCATCCCTTCCTGTCCCTTCCCCAAAATGCTTTTGTTCTTTCTGTTAGAAGTTGTAGATAAGCTAAAGTTTATGATGCTAGCCTTATACCCTTCCTTCCCTATTGGATCCATATTAGCTAAGTGATTTTTCTTTTTTTGTATCAGAGATTGAACCCAGAACTTTGTGCTTGCGAGAAGGTGGTAGCACCACTGAGCTAAATCCCCAGCCCTCTAAGTGATTATTCTTGTAATTCTATTGGTTGATCGTAGTTTGACCCACGTTTTACCTACCTTGTGAATTTTCTCTATAAAACATTATTGGAGAAATAGTCTCTGAGGAAACCCCTTTGAGACCCCCTCCTGTCTCTCAGGAGCTTTCGCTTAACAACCTTTCCTAATCTTAACCTCCTTTGTCCCTTGGAATTCATTCTTAGCTATTTGGGGGACATAAACTGAACACATTTGACATCTAGCAGGTTGGGAGTTATTTTTCCCCAATACAGATTAGAGGGCCCACTGAGATCTTTGGAAGGAGGTAAGAGTTTGCTTTTGTTTCTCAGCACCCCTGAAATATTTCAATGGGATTCTGGGTTGTGAATCCTTTAGGTCATCAATAATTATCATCCTTTGCTTGTCAGTTGCTTATGCCTTCTCTTTTTGGGGGGTCAAAATCATAGATTTAAATTCAGAGAATGGGAAGATTGTGATGCCTTTATATTTGAGTTGCTTTCATGAGACATTTTTACTTTTTCAGACAGGGCCGTATATTCCTTTCCTGACTTATTTGGCAGTTACAAGATGGCTTGTTTTCTTATATATAGCTCTTTGGAATTTTTTTAAACTTCTAAGTGGTTCATAGCTTGAACTCTCTGGTGTTTGGGACATATTTTGGCAGTTTACCTCTGTCAGGGACTGTTGCCATTAGTATCTGTAAATGGCAATACGCTTCTCTTTGCAACCCTGAGATTCTTTTCCCTTTCCAATCAGAAGCTTCTGAACCCCCATAAAATGACCCTCGTCTATAAGGGCACTGAAGATAAGCATTCCTTTATTGACTACATAACCTACAACCCTGGGTTAGAAGGTAATTGGAAATCACAAGACACGCACAAGAATTTTGGCCTACCCAGTGTCTGAGCAGGGTTTTCTCTTGAAACAGGCAGGAGGACCGGCAGGATAAAATTCCATCCTGAACACAGTAGAGAGAACTGACCTCTGGGTGACACTAGGGGGAGCCAGCTCCTAAAGTACAGCACACTTACTTATGAACTATAAACAATATACTGTAGTTGGAGTATTTCCTCTCTCCCTCCCTCTTCCCCCACCTCTCTTTCTCTCTCATAGGAGGGTGATTAATCCTCCTACTGCCTAGAAAAGAGGACAGTGAGGGCTAAAGAATGACAATAGAGACTTGTGTATCTTTAAAGTACAGGAAGGGCTGAAAGGTCAGTGTCTCAGAGTGGACACAGTGTTGGGTACACCCAATAATTGGAGGGAGTATCAGGTGACTCAGAGGGGGCGTTAATCCTATGTTGATGAGACCAGTAAGGAGAACATTCTTACAATAGCAGGTAGGACAAGATAGCAGGCTAATAAAGAAGTCATCTCTCCCCCAGGAAAAACCCTTTCTTTTCTTTTATTACTACTGAATTCTTGAAGAACTAGGATGTCTTTAGTTGATGTGTTCTTGCCCCTGAGCATCGCTGCATCACAGGACCATTGGGCCCTCAACTTGAGACCAGAGGCAAAACAGAGTTATGATGGTTATTCGTGCCATAACCAGCTCACAGACAAGGTGACATTGGGCCTTAGATAGCTACAGTCATACTCTAATTCTGAAATGATTTTCCCCCAAAATTTATGTAGAATGGCTCTCAACACTCTGTCTCTTTCTTTCTCTCTCTCTGGTTAGAAAGAAGTTGTTCAGGTTCCTTGATCATTTGTTTAATTTTCTGTTTAACAATGCTTCCCTTTTTCTTTGTTTTTTCTTTTCCTTCTGAAACAGGGATAGCAGGAATCAGCTGCAGGTTTTTGCATTTAGAAATATGCCCTAGAGTTTAAAACACAGCAGTGGCAATTCAGAAGAAGTAGGGTGTACCTACATCATAAGAGTGGCTAGTGTGGCAGAGCCTATCTTCTGATCACTCTCCAGTTAGCAGCCACCTGCCCTGGAGCAGGAAAACCTCAGGGACACCTTGAAGGCATATAAAAAAACAAGAAAGGTTAAAAAGGGATATCTTTTTCTAATGTTGTTTTATGGATGGCAAACTCAATATTCCCTTACTCCTTTTGTTTGTTTGTTTGTTTTGTTTTGTTTTTTTTGGTACCAGGGATTGAACTCAGGACCTTGTGCTTGTGCTTGCAAGGGCAGGCAGCAGAACCACTGAGCTAAATCCCTGGCCCTCCTTTGGATTTTTAGGCTTTCTTTGGGGGAGGCTCAATTTGCAATTCCCTTATTCCTCCTGTTTTTTAGCCCCACCCCTATATTGGGGATTGAACTCAGGACCTTGTGTTTACAAGGCAGACAGCAGCACCACTGAGCTAAATCCCTGGCCCCTAGAGTGTACTCTTAAGCATTGGAAATTGTCTTCTCTCAGGCTAAGACAGTGCTGTTTAATCTTTTACTCCATTCTAGGCAATTTGAGCCAGCTATTGCTCTGTTGGGTATCTTTCCAAAAGAATTAAAGTAATCATACCACAGTGATATATGTGCACCCATGTGTATAGTGGCACAGTTTGTAATAGCTAAAACTTGAAAACAGCCCAAACGCTCATCAACTGGAGACTGGATAAAGAAGATGTGGTTTTTCTACAAAATGGAGTATTACTCAGCCATAAAGAATGAGAAACTAGAAACATTTGTAGCTAAATTGATGCACGTTGAGGCTATACTTGTAAGTGAAATAAATAGGACACACTTGAGTAAACATCGAATAGTTTCTCTGGTGTGAAAAACTAAAAGTATAAATAAGGTTCAAATGATATAATTGAGAAATAGGAAGAAAATGGTTAAAGGGAAAGTGGGAAGGGGAGGGGAAAGAAAATAAGGGAAAAGAAAATATGTGAAAAAAGGAAAAAATGGAAATAAGTCTTTGTAAATAGGGAAGGGTGAAGAGGGTGAAGGGAGGGCAGGGGTTTGGGGAAAAACAAGAACCAAGGCATATCATGTAAAGGTACAAGATCCCAATGATAAATGTAACTGTATTGTTTGCTTTAAATGTACCAACAAACTTAATGGGGAAAAAATCTTTTTCTGCCCCTGCACTTGGCCTGCCTATCCCATGGAGCCCAAGTGGAATGTGGAGGAAAGTATTGATTATAATACTATTTTACAACTGGAGTTGTAAGAGAGAGGAAAAATGGTCAGGAGTAACTTATGTTCAGACTTTCTTTGCATTAGGAGATAATTCTGACTAGTGTTCGGTGTAGATGTAAGCCACCAGAAAAGCAGATGCCTCTGGTCCCTACAGAGCAATCTGATGCATCTACCATTACTGAGCCTGAAGTTCCACCTCCCTTGTTCTTTGTACCCTGGGGATGAGACTTCTAAGCCGACCCTGTTGAAATCTCTACCGGGCTCTATCTACCTCTATCTGATTTTGTCAAAGTGCCTCATGGGCAATATCCCTTACAGGAGCGGGGTGGAAGATTTGGCGCTACCCATGCCCACATGTCCTTTGCGCTCAATGACCTCAAACAGATCAAACGAGATCTGCAAAGTTTTCAAATCATCCTGAAAAAGTACACTGAGATTTTTAGATGACTTAGTTCTACGAAGCGGACTAGAAAGATGCAATGTTGCTATTAAATCAAACATCAACTTCTAGTGAGAACAAGCAGCATTACAAGCTGCTATTATGTTTGGAGATAAATATCATATTGTTCATTTTAATTTTGCTTTTTGAGACAGAATCTTCCTGTATAGCCCAGGCTTGCCTCAAACCTGAAACAATCCTCCTGCCTCAGCCTCCTAAGTGCTGGAATTACAGGAGTGTGCCACCATGCTCTGTATATTGTTCATTTTAAAAGACCAGAAGAGAAATAGCAAGGGGAACAGCCGATTCCTACTGGAGCCCAGGCAGTCCCTATACAAGATCTCTACTGTTCCATCAGCTAGGCTAGAAATTGGAGTAGGAAATATTATGAAATTTGTATCCTTGAAGGCCTAAGAAGGACGAGAACTAAGCCTTTGGATTATTTTAATTGTCAACTATTAATCAGGAAAATGATGAGATCCCCTCAGAATGACCCTAAGAAGGTCATTTACAAGAGCCCTTGGTAAAGTACACATTTCTTTCTGGCCCCTGATTCAGTAGAAGGACAGATTATCCTTAAAGACAAATTTATTACCCAGTCTGCCTCAGACATTAGGAGAAAGCTATGGAAGATGGCTTTTGCTCTAGGTAACTCACTTGATGCCCTAGCATCAGTATTTTATAAATGAGAATGAGAAGAGGCCAAAGGGAGAAATCAAAGAGAAAGCAGCTGTCTTGGTTGTGGCCTTAAAAGGAGTAAACTCTGAGTCTAATTCCCATGACTCCAAGAAGAGCTCAATGACTAAACTCACTTGCAGTGGGTTTGGAAAACTAGGCCACTTTGGGGGAATTGTGATAAGCATGTGTTAAGCCATGCTCTATGTCCAGTAGTGGCCACTGGAAGTTGGACTGCCCTCTGGGATAAAGGTCCCAGGAATCAGACCCATCTCACCAGCAAGACTGAAGGGCCCTAGGCACTCTGTCTTCTCCATCGGGCTGCACTGTCATTTCCACAGAGGAGCCCCAGATGATCTTGACCGTAGAGGAAAAGAGACCAGCCTGCTATGGACACAGGAGCTAGCCTGTCAGTCCTTTTTTTCAACCCTGGTTTTCCTTCCAGCCCTTATACCTCAGTGAAAGGAGTCACTAGGGAAGAGATGGTCACTATTTCCCACAACCTTTAGGCTATAACTGGGGTGGATTTCTCTTCTCCCATTCTTTTTGTTTTTGGTACCAGGGATTGAACTCGGGACCTTGTAAGAACCACTGAGCTAAATCCCTGGCCTCTCCCATTCCTTTTTTTGATCATACTTGAAAGTCCAGGTCCTCCTTTGGGGAGAGGCATCTTATCTTGTTTGAATGCTATAATATACATGTACCCTGGTTGGGTATGATTTCTCCCTGTCGTGGAGACAGAAATAAATTCTGAAGTATGGGCAACTAAAGCTAAAATCAGAAGAACAGCAAGAGCTGCCCTAGTACAAATACATTTTAAAGATCCCACTATTTTTTGTCACTGAAGACAATACCCTCTAATGCCTAAGGTGAAAAAAGGACTATTATTTATAATTGAAAGCTTAAGGGCATAAGGTTTACTTATGCCTTATAACAGCCCTTGCAACACTCCAAAAAACATATATATTTTTTGTATTTTGAAACTGTCTTGTTATCTAGTGTAGGCTGGTCTACGCTATGAACTCACTATACAGGCCAGGCTGGCCTCAAACTTGTGGCTGATCCTCCTGCCCTCAGCCTCCTGAGTGCTGGGAGACCCTGCCTCAAAGAAAAAGAAAAGAGAAAAGGAAATATGGAGACCCTATTTGTAGGCCTGCATGCCTTCCTAAGGGATAAACAGTAACTTGAGATTATACTGTAATTAACAATGCCCAGTCCAGTAAGTCCAGATAGGCATCAGACACCCGAGTGGTGACCAGAACATCCAGACCCAGGCTCCCATCCCTTCCTGTCCTTTTCCAAAATTGCCTTTCTTCTATGTTAGAAGTTATAGATAAGCTAAAGTTTATGATGCTAGCCTTATCGCCTTGCTACATACCTTGTTTCCCTATTGGATCCATATTAGCTAAGTGATTATTCTTGCAATTCTATTGGTTAATCATAGTTTGATACACATTGGAAGCTCCCCCTTTTTTCTACCCCCCTCCTTTTAAAATTTTTGTTTTGTTTTTTGAGACAGAGTCTTGCGATGTAGTTCAAGCTGGCCTTGAACCCACTACATAGCCCAGGCTGGCCTTGAATTCAGTGATCCTCCTGCTTCAGCCTCCTGAGTACTGGGATTATAGGGATGCTGCCACCATGCCCAGCTCCATTTTGTGATTTTGCTCTATAAAACATTCTTGGAGTAATAGCCTCTGTGGCGACCCCTTTGGGACCTCTTCTGACTCTCAAGAGCATTCTCTTTACAAACTTTCCTACTCTTAACCTCCCTTGTTGGAGCCCATTTGATATTTTGGGGACATAGATTTGGCACATCTGACATCTAGCAGGTTGGGAGTTATTTTTCCTCCTTAAAGTTTTTGAAAATATATAAAAGGTGGTATCGCACCTGCCTGGCAAGCACAAGGTCCTGAGTTCGATTCCTAGTACTGGGGGAAGAAAAATAAATAAAATAAAAATGTACAAAAATATATCAATAGGCAGAAAGTGCTAAGTAAATTATAAAACTAAGGAAGAAACCATTGCAATGTACCTGGCCTTTCCTGGTTCTTGGCAACCCAAGAAGGATTTGCCTAGGCCACCTAATGATCACGTGCAAGCCTGAAAGTCGTTTCAAACAAAAAGTGTACTGCAAAGAAGAATGTGGCAGACAATCAAGCCAGGTTGCCTTAAGAGTGGGAACAACACTGAGTTTCTTTGTTCTGGTTTATTTTTCTATACTCCTGACTTTGGCTATTTGCCACCCTACCCCTGTCCTACTTTCAATTTTAAAGTTTGTCTGTTTCCCCATTGTTGGTCGATAATTACTTCATTTATGCAGCACCTATATATGAGGCCATAAGCAGATGATAATGAGGAAAGGTCACTCCAAGGACGCTCGGGGCAGTCAGGATGCATACCCCACTGAGTGGAAAGTCCCTAGTCCTCCTTTGTGCTTAGTTTGTAGTTGCCTGTCCATCTAGGGTCTTTTTCCAATTGGTTGAAGTCACTTCACACATGGGTCCTGCACCCCACTTTCTGTCACCACAAAGAGCAGCTCATTCAGAAAATAAAGGGAAGCAATCCAAGAAAGAAGGGTGAGGAGCCGGGCGTGGTGGCGCACGCCTGTAATCCCAGCACTAGCGAAGCTGAGGCAGGAGGATCACTGTGAGCTCAAGACCAGCCTGGGCTACATAGTGAATTCCAGGTCAATCTCAACTACATAGTGAGACCCTGTCTCAAAAAAAAAAAAAGAGTGAGGAAAATTGAATGTTGGACATGGAAAAAAATCACAATCTGCTTCCTGCGTTCAAAGTTTTTGTTTCCGTCTTACAGTATTTACACAGCGACAAGAGAGCCGAGACCACAGAAACAAATGTACTGACCGGAAAAACCCAGGGTCATGGGAGTTGCCTGCCCCGCCCACCTTGGGCGTGGTCACGGCGTGGTCACGGCGGCAGCCTCCTGCCCGGAATTTTTCCCGCGGCGCGCGTTGATGACGTACACCGCGCCAAGATTCTTCTAGCTGCACAGCCTGGGAGAAGGCGTTTATGTGAGTAAAGTTTCTGCTAGTTGATGGAGCCGCTCTTCCTGGAGCAGCCCTTCGTTACCCATCCCAAGCCCGATCCAGGCCGCATCAGTGTCCCTACTAGGCCGAGCTGGGGCCCGCTGAGTCCCGCGTGCCTGTTTGTAGTCGGGGCATCTTTCCGTCTGCTCCTGCACGTGTTCAGCAGACGCTGGACGTGGGTTTCTGAGCACAAGTAAACTTAGCTGCCTTTGTGTCAGTTATTCTTCATCAGGAAACTTGTCGATCACTTGCTTTTATTTTGTTTGTGTTTTTGAGATCGATCTGGTCTTGTTCTGGAATTACAGGCGTGAGCCACCACTCCCCGTCGATCACCTGCTTGTGTCAGGCACCATGGTCGTCCATGGGGACACAGCTCTTATGTAAACAAATGCTGTACTCCTGGGGGTTATATTTTCACTAGCAGTGATAGGTGAATATTTTAAAGTCATTCTGAGAAGACTGGCCTGAAAGGAGAAGGGGGTAAGGGAGTTCATGCCTAGTGTGGTGACACACATCTTGTAATCTTGGCATTCTGGAACCTGAGGCAGGAGGATCTCGAGTTCAGAGGCCATGCCTGGGCTACATGGGGTGTTCAACGTCAACCTAGACTATATAGTAAGTCTCAGTTTCAATCTTCCCCCATCCAAAAGAAAAAAGAAAAAAAAAATCACATTCAGTACATGGGAGGCTGAGGCAGGAGGACCTCTGCAAATTCGAAGCCAAGCTGGACTACATAGTGAGTTCAAGGCCAGCTTGAACTACATAGCGAGACCCTATCCCAAAATTAAGGTGGGAGCCAAGGAATGTAGCACAGTGCAGAGGCTCAGGAGTTCAGTTCCCAGTACCAAAAGTAAATAAAAATAAAAGAAGAAGCCAGATGCATTAGTCTGGGTGAGTGATGGTGGAGGCTTAGAGTAGAGTAAGGTAGTAGAGATGGAAAGATGAGAGATTTTGAAAACGTTTGAAAGTAGATTTAGTATAGAAAGGTTGAGGCAAAGAAGATTCCTACGCTTTGGCTGTTGTTTTTTTATTGCAGTGCAGGATCTCAAACCCAAGGCCTCACCCATACTCGGCAAATATTCTAACACTGAGTTACATCCCTCCCCCAAATCCCATGCTTTGGCTTGAGCAACTGATCATGTAGTGGTAGTGTTTCTTTAGATGGAGAAATTTAGAGGAATAGAATACCTGGAGAAACAGTAAATCACATTCCTGTTTTAGCCAAAATAGACTTATTTGCTGTGTTTAGGAGACATCTGTGTGGCATTGTCATGTGAACATTTGAATATAACTGGAGCTTTAGGGACTCTTGAGTGCTGGGTAAAGTTATAGAATCTTTTGGGAAAATATTAGCTTGAATCATATGAAAGTGCCATTTTCCATCAAAAAAGTGGTTGAATGCTAGTTATTTATTTCATTGGTTCATTCAGCTAGGTGATTTTTTTTTTTTTTTTTTTTTTT